ACAAGATAGAATACATACCTCTTTGATGTAGAATGTCTTCATGAAGCTTGAGTGCCTAGTGCCCCAAGTGTGACACCTCAAATGGTTCACACAACACCAAATACACTTGGAATAACTTGAGAGAAACTTGAACACTCCTTAAAATCGTCTAGCCCTCACACTCACACATTAGTGCACGATTTCTTGAGCCATGGGATTCTTTTATATGGTGGCTATTAGGGTTACACCATGTAACTCATAACTTTACCCATTCCTTATGCTCCATGGATTTTAACCTCCATGGAGTATCCATGGGTCACCCCATGGACTTAGTCCAACATAAGGAATCTTGGATCACAAGCCCACATATATAAGAATGAATGATTTACACAATCAACTCATATATTTAATTAGTCTCCTTTTGATCACTTAATTAATTCCAAATTAATTATTGATCAATACTAATTAAATAACCTTATTAATATATTAGAACTTATAATATATTAACCAACCTTAAGTGTTATTTCTCTCATTATAGTCTATCCAAATGCATGATGCCATGCAACCCAAATGGACCATGCTGGGTCGGGTCAAGTCTTACCAATTATAGTTATGGACTTAGACATTAATCCAACATACGGGTAGAGCTCATTAGATAGCGGTCAATAATATTCTTAAGTATCTACGAACAACTAAGGACTGGGTCCGTGTGCTTGGTGGCAGTGACAACTTAAGAGTAACCGGCTATTGTAACGCCAACTTTCAAATAGACAGAGACAACTTTCGTTCTCAATCTGGCTGGGTGTTTACCCTTAATGAAGGAGCGGTAACCTGGAAAAGTTCCAAATAAGAGACAATGTCTGATTCTACATGTGAATCAGAGTACATAGCAGCAAGCGAAGCGTCGAATGAGGCTATATGGTTGAAGAACTTCATCGGAGACCTTGGAGTTGTTCCAGCCATCAAGGAGCCAATGGAGATTTTTTGTGATAATGAAGGGCGGTTGCCTTAACAAAGGAACCAAGAGATCATGGCAGATCAAGGCATATCAACAGAAAATACCATTTCATTAGACATAGAGTAGAAGAAGGTCACCTCGTCGTGAAGAGGGTATCGTCCGAAGAGAATCCAACAGATCCCCTCACAAAGGGTCTAAGTAGGATTAAGCACGTTCAACATGCTAGAAGCATTGGTCTGAAGGATGGTGTTAGTTTTAGTAGTTAGATAGTTGTTTAGAAACTTGTAACAAAATAAATGTAATTGACATTTCATGATTAAATAATAGAGAATTAGTTATGAGTATTGTTTACTATCTTTTATCAATTGTTTATGATTGTGTTTCAATTTTGCATGTTTTACTTCCAGACTAATTGGATTATTCAAAACATCTACAATCGATCATACTTTTGGAAGTAAGTAGTGAATCAAGACTGTCATGAATTGGATTGTAGATTGTCTAAAAGGTTTAGACATAGCAATGGTTTGCTGCAACATTCATGAGTACTTTGAAATAGAGATTTAGGTATTGGATTAACCTACGCTCAGAGAATTACTTCATGGAATTTATCATGAGTAATTCTGAGACGATAATATCTTATAATCTTTAAACGAAGATATTAGTTGTTATTTACAAGTTGGTTGTGCATTGATAATACACAAACGCATCGGTAAGTTGATGTTATAAAACGTATTGTTGTGCATGATTTTATGAGTAAATAGTGCAAGCATATAAGTCAAAGTTTATCTGTTCCTTTTTCCCTAATGGGAAGAGCGATATCTTGGGCCCTTCGATGATTTGGTGTTGACTTATAGTGTCGGGCCCGACCAGGACTAAATTGATGTGTTCAATTAGTAGTTCTTTGTCATTACAAATCAGAAATTGGGAAACAAAGTTTTGGACAATGAGATTGATTCTGTTCCATGTCATTTGTCTACTGATATCTTGTATAATGGAGGATTATATGATCTCTTATCTTAGGACACGTAACCGACTAGGTCAGAGTTCGACAGCGGCTTTGAGAACTATAATTTACTGATCGATTTAGAAGGATATACCGGCAACTATAGTTATTAGACTTATCCAAGTGGGAGACTGTTGGATTAGGTGTCTAAGTCCATAACTATATTTGGTATATACTTGAATTGAGAGTAACACAGTCCTTTGGGGTTGCCCTCAAGATTAGCAACTAGACATGATGATTTTGGAGAACGATGTTGATTTATTATTTGATTAATAAATTGAAATAAATAATTTTTTAATATATTATGAGAATAATATATTAATTAGAAATAGTAATATTTAATTAATATTTAATCAGAAATTAATTAGAATTTATTTTGGGATTAAAAGAATTAATTAAAAATGCAAGGACTGAATTGTAATTGTTCAATAGTTGAGCAAGAGGCAATCTAGAACCCTCCATAGACTATGGACGGTTTTTCTAGTGCCTTAGGGTTTCTAGAATAGTCTCTAATGGATAATCAGGAAAGTGGATAATTACCCGGTTTAAGATAATCTTGGATTTGGGCTTATCTAGGGTTTCATGACTACACTATAAATAGGGCTGATACCCTATGATTTTCGGCCACTTGTTCTTGAAGAGTACCAGTCGAAAATTTAACCTCCCTCCTTCTTCTCAATCATTCTTCTATTGCTAGTGTTGGGTGCAAGCCATTAAATGCGTGACAATTGTGACGCTTGTTCTCAAAGTCTCAACAACACTAAGGATTTGGATTGTTATTGCTATATAACAATCAAATGTATGTTTTGTAACCCTAATTATGTATTTTCGATTATATACTAGTGTTCTAGGGTTTCTACATTGTTGTTCACATTGTATGTTCAATTAGAGAAAACGTAGATCAAATTTAGGGTTGCATGCACACATAGAATTGTTTGTTATGCTCAAGACCCATCAAGCTGACCTATATCACCTCAAGTAAATTGGCAGCGCCACACATTTGAACATCTTTCCCTCGCGACATGCGTATAATCAAGGTTACCAATCATTCCTTGAAATTCATGCCTCCCTTCATGTACCAAATATAATATCTCAATATCACGTACAATAAGTCTGCACAAATATTCTTTGTGATAAACCTCATACACACATGCGCAAAAAAATATACACACTCATTTGCGGTCATCTCGGATACTTTCAAGTACTCGTATGATGCATCAAAGGCTATACCGTATCCTAAATATCTAAGCACAGCCGCGCATTTTTGTAAACTACTAAAGCTCATTCTACATCTAGTATCAGGTTTTTGCTTAAAAAAATCATAATGGACCTCTAAAGCATTACTATTACGTAAAAATAATGTCTTATTCAGAAGGAAATGACGTTCGAATGCCACATCATTATAAAGACAATTATCGTCAAGTAATCACGTAGCAATAGTTCATGTGTGGGTTGACGATCTCAATTGGCAAACGCTCTTGTACGCGAAACATTTGTACGTTCTTCATTGTGTATGTGTTGCACAACATTAAAGAACGTCGAGATAAATTCTTCGTCGTCATCCGATTCCAAATTTGTAAAAAAATCCATACATATGATTTTTTTAGTGAGTATAAAGAGTTCAATGGTTTGAAAATATGATGTTTAGATGTTGTGTTTATATAGGTAAAATTTATTTATTAAAAAAAATAGATTTTGACCGTTGGAAACGATACAACCTTTTGATTGGGCGTGCTCTTCTGTCCTCCCCACCACACCACACGACGACAACACTCGACCACGAACCGGCGGGATAGTATACACGGTCGTGGTTCGTTGTCACGTCGATCACGACGCTCTTCGTTGTATGTAGACCGAATGGTCTAACATATATTAGATTTTTATTGCTAATTTTTTGCATTTTAATTGATGTTGTATATTCTAATTGATGAAACAAGTACCAAAAATTTTGCTTTTAACAAAAATAAAGAAAAGTTAATATGTGTTATTATTCTATGTAATGAAATTTTTTTATTTACTAAAAAAAATTTAAAAATATATCATTGTTTTTTTATTTTTGAAAAGGCAAATGTAACTCCTAAACTACTTATTAATTTTATCTATACCGGATAACAGTGTGTTAGAAGTGATTTAATATTTAACATATGAGGGTGTTTGTTTTATCTTTTAAAACATCTTTTAGCTTTTAGGAAAAGATAAAAAGCTAAAAGATGTTTGGTAAAAACAACAGATCTTGTAAAAATTACTTTTAAATATAAAGAAAATAAACTTTTTGAAAAAATCAGGTAAACCTGACTTTTCGCAACTTTTCCTAAAAAACCTTTGTCCTTTCAAGAGAATTATTTATTATTGAGAGAAACGACAAAGGCATCAAAGTGGTCCAATTTGCCCTTTGTGCCAATGAAGGAACATCCAAATTTATATTATAACTTAATATTAAAAACAACTAATATAATGCAAGAAAATCCAAATTTCAGTTTTATTTCTCACGCGCTTATCCACACCATGTAAACACGCAGCACCCACAAATACCAAGTACTTTTTGATTAGACCAATTAGGGTCATTAGACATATAAGATGGAGTAAAATGAAAAAAAAAGTAATAAGAGACCTCGTTAATTTTGTAACCACACAATCATTTATTTAGTAAATTATATTTTTGGTCTCTATGGTTGACTCTTGTTTAGTCTAAGATTTAAAAAACGTATTCAAATAAGTTTTATGATTTATAATTGGATGTTATTTTTGTATAATACCGTTAGAAGCCTCCCAATTAATTCTTTCTCTCTATATATATATATATATATATATATATATAAAAGTTTTAACCTTATTTTGATTTTTTTATGATTTCTTAATTATATTATTTAAGATATTTTTAAATTTTTTTTTTGCCTTCTAAATTCCAAAGTTACTTTAATTGGATCATATGATATGGTTTTAACTTTGAAGGGTAGTACGGTACTTTCTTGCACGGAGGGGCTGTTGACGTGTCCACCACTTGTCATATATATTCTCTCAAAGCATTAGGCACGCGCCGCCCATGTGCGAGCGGGCTCTCAACTACGCCTTTCTGGTCGCTGCGCACAGAAAGTAAAGGCTAAATTGCACAAGAAGGCAAGGCAATCACTCGTCATCCTCCAATTTTGGTTTCTCATCGAGACGCCTCCGGTGAGGACATCCAACACTGCGTTTTAGAGAACACACAGCGGCGTCGGATCTCGTTGCTTAATTACTTTAAAACGCCTTACAACCGTTCGTTATCGGGGAGCTGTTTAGGTTTTCAGTGGCTTTTTTTCACATGGTTTAAGGTGAGGGTTTTGGCTATACTCATTCGTTTATTTTTGAATTTGATTGAATATTCGTGATGTATTATGTTGTAACAGTTTGAAATTTGAAAGATTGAAGTTCACGATGCGCTTTAATGGCTGCATGGCTTAAATTGGTAAAAAAAAAATGGCTATTAGGGACCTTATGGATGCCTTCTAAATCTAAACCAGTATATCTGATGTTTGTCGGAGTTTATTTTAATGCATTAACACGATTCAACTTTGTTCTTTTCTCAATTGTTAATTCATATGATGGCGATGCCTTGAATTGAAGTTTTCTAATTTGAGTAAAAGTTGTTTTCTATATTTGTAACTCTGTTTAGTCTGATGCTCACATGATATGATGATATTCAGGTGATTTATTTATTTATAGCAGACAATTATAACCATGGAGGCACAATCTGCATTGGCCTTTCGAAGATCAGGTGCAAGGCAACTTAGTAACTATGGAGCCCCTGGAGCTCGATCTTCCCCTTTGCCTATTCGTCCTGCCTCTTTGGAAAACAAACATCCCAAATTTCCAGACTCTCAGCACATCTCCATGGGAACACAGAATTTCACTGCTCTTCCTTCAGTATCCTCAACTAACGGAGCTGTTGGTCACATTTTTTCTTCTTCGTCTTCAGGGATGTCTTCAGATCTTCACTTTTCTTCTGTTACTTCTCACCAAAAGCATTCAGAAACGCCATCTTTCATATCTCAATCCTCAGGAGTTCTTCAATCGACTACATCAAACCAGTATATGAAAGAAAACAACAACAGCTCATGGTGTACAGATTCACTGCCTGATTTTCTTGATTACCCTCAAGATAATACCCCTATTCAGTCTAGTAATTTACAAGAGGATCTTGGTAAACAAAATGATTGGCAAGATTGGGCTGATCAGCTTATTACTGAAGACGATGCTATGACCCCTGATTGGAATGAGATTCTTATTGATACAAATATTGTTGAATCAGAGCCAAAGGTTTGTTCAACTTTTGCTAGCTCATTGATACAAATATCAGCAACATTTAGAGTAATACATATATACAATAATACAAATGACAATGACTTTTCTTTTGTTAATTAGATGGCATATCATGTGGGGGGATCATCTACAAACTCGATGCAAATACAAGCAATTCCTGCATCATCTGAAGAAGCTTGCATTCCACTGACTCCCACTCCATCTTCTTGTGGGAACAGTGGGTCCCATTCCAAACCAAGGATGCGTTGGACTCCAGAGCTTCATGAAGCGTTTGTGGAGGCAGTCAACAAGCTGGGTGGAAGTGAAAGTACTATTTTGTCCTTCATCTAGACTATTCTTGATGTTATCTGATTAGTAGATATATATATATATATATATATATATATATATATATATATATATATATATATATATATATATATATATATAATGTGTTGATGATGTGAATTGTTATATATATTTGTATCTACAGGAGCTACTCCAAAGGGAGTACTGAAGCAAATGAAAGTGGATGGGTTGACGATATATCATGTGAAAAGTCACCTACAGGTGCATTTATGGTACTTCCCGGGTGATGCAAGTTACAAAGGTCAAGAAATTGTGCTGCTTTATATAATGTGGAATTTATTTTGTTTTGCAGAAATATAGGACAGCTAGATATAGACCTGAGCTCTCATCAGAAGGTAAACAAAGTTATGCCTTGATCCATTTCCTTTTTACCCAACTTTTGCTATTTCATCCGTTAGGGGTAGAATTTTGCCCAAATCGACCCATTTTTAGGTAAATGGGTCGAAATAATTTGAAGATGTTGTCCAACTATGTCTGTACTGATTGGTCATTTATTGCAGGAGCTTCAGAGAAAAAAACTTCAGTTGAAGATTTCTCATCTTTGGAGTTGAAAACGTAAGTCAGATTGGTTCAACTTTATTTAACCTTGTCTTTATTATGTTAACATGTATTTCATGCCATTCATAAGATTCTTCATGTCAGCATTCCATAACCATTGAAAAAAAGAGCTAGGTTCCATTAATTATACAAACAGTTTACATTTCTTTGTGTGCAAAGTTTGAAAGTTTTGCAATAATTTGAACCAAACAGGGGTTTGGAGATCACTGAAGCATTACGATTACAGATGGAAGTCCAGAAGCGCCTACATGAACAACTTGAGGTATATGATATTTGCTTTATTCAAGAAAATAGCATTTGTGTTTTTTCTTAATTATAAATGATTTTGTTTTGTGCATCAGATCCAAAGAAACTTACAGCTGAGAATAGAAGAACAAGGCAGATACCTTCAGATGATGTTTGAGAAACAATGCAAGCCAGGAGGAGGAATCAATGACAATTTCAAAGCTTCATCATCATCTACTACCCAAGTCCTAGACTCGACCAACGAACCGGGACCCGACCCGGTGGTGGGACCGGGACCAGATGATGACTCGCAACCATCAAAGCGTGCAAAAGTTAACGAGTAAAAAATGATGGAAAAATATTGACAATTGCCTGCTGTCTTTGTTTTTTTTATATGGTCGTAAGGTTTAGTTTTATGGTCATGACATGATGATACCAAAGTCTGACTTGGAAACTTTTTGACTTTGTAATTGCTTCTTTCTGAGATTATAAGAACCCTAAATCAGCAGGTAGCAGGTACTATTCGGAATCATGCTAGAAATAGAGGTAGTAGTATAGGATTCTCTATAAAGGAGGAGGAGATTCGGTGTTATTTGCCAAAGCTTGGTTGTACTGTACATATGTATCCGTATCATATCATGTACTCTTATCAACTTATGAAATCATGATGAACAACAGTTTCTATAAGGCCAAGGTGTACTGCCACATCACTATTTTACATGCCACATCAAATTTTTTTTACTTTTTTTTATTTAGAATTGGTCCATTTACAAAACAACTTTAGAAATGTGTCGTTCTACCTCGTCACATGCTTGGCACACCATGAGTATTTTAATCATTCTTCGTAAATGTCTATTATAAATCTTAGTAGGAAGAATATAATCTCATTTAGCCTTTAGCATAAGAGTTTTTTTTTTTTTTTTTCATCAAACCCAACTGATTGCTTTCTATTTAGAACTCAAATTAGTTTTTAAAACCTACTTTTAAAGTCAAAAGTTTATTTGTAGTAAACTGTTGACTTGCATATACGTAAACGAAGAAATGCCAATTTTTTAGAACATCAATTTACACGATCTCTTTTTGACAACTAGGACTATATAATAATTTATTTAAATTTAACTTACATGTAACGATCCAAAAACACTAAATTTCTTTCTATTTTTGATAACTTGATAACTTGTCCATTCTAATTTGGTCTAATGACTTAGTTATACATGGTTGAGTACTAGCTGATAATTCTTGTGCAACAGCACGCATCGAAGGCCTTGACTCGGGTGTTAATCGGGTACACGCAAGAGCAACATTAAGCACAAACACCACTTGCTCGACGACACTATCCTTCGGAGGCAGAAGCCTTTGATCAAGGACGTCTTTCAACAACATATTTGAATTATCTCGAGCTGCAAAGGTCGTATTTGATGATTGCAAAGATGATAAAAGCTCCCCAGGATGCCTCCCCATCATAATCTCAAACAATACGACTCCAAAGCTGTAAACGTCACATTTCTCTGTAACCCTAATTGTGAGTGCAAGTTCTAAAGTATAAAGTACAAACAAAAGCGGTATGATTCAGTAAAAGAATCAAAAATCAGATGAAAAGGAAGTGATTAACCATATAAATAAATAATAAGTACCTGGTGCCATGTAACCGTAGGATCCCGCGACTCTAGTCTGATTACTCGAGTCCAGATTCAACAATTTGGCTGTCCCGAAATCAGACAATCGGGGGATCATATCTGACTCGAGTAGAATATTATTTAACGAGACGTCCCGATGTACAATCGGGGGATTGCAATCATGGTGCAAGTAGGCTAATGCATGGGCGAGTCCTTGGACAATTTTAACCCTCGTAATCCAGCCTAATTCCGACGTTGCCTCCACACCGTAAAGTACTTTTCCCAAACTACCCTTTTGCAGATACTCATATATCAAATGCATCCGGCCGTTACTACTGCAACAGTAGCCGTAGAGTTTGATGATATTCCTGTGGCGGGCTTCGGTTAGGGCACGTATCTCGTTCTCGAAGCTTTGCTTATGTGTGGCCGGGACATCGCCGGAATCTGATACGGTCAGCCGTTTCACTGCGACGATAACTCCGGTTGGTAAATTTGCCCTGTACACACTCCCGAATCCTCCTTTACCGATGCAATACGTCTCGTTGAAGTTTTCGGTGGCGTTCACGATGTCTCCGAATGTAAATCTGCCGTCTCTTGCCCATATAACCGTTTCGGAGTTTCCGCTTGAGGGTGTACTTTTCATCTCTTCGTCGATGAGCTTTGATCTTCTACGAATGATTATACAGAAGATAGCAATCGTTGTTGCTATCAGCACAAAAATGACCGCCGGTACAAGAGCCGCGATAAACAGTTTATTATTTCCGGATTCTTGTGCGGTGTTGCCATTACAAGCAGGGAATCCTTTTTCGGATCCACACAGATCGGCATTTCCAGTGAAGGATCCTGCCGGTGCTCGTTCGAATACGCCGACGTTTGGGATTGGGCCTGACAATTGGTTGTACGAGAGATCAATTGATTGTAAGCTTATCATGGAAGTGGATAGTCCAGGAGGAATTCGACTTGAGAAATTGTTGTGCGAAAGATTGAGATTCTCGAGTGTTTTGAGCTTTTCCATATCTTCAGGGATTCTGCCGGAAAACGAATTGCTGCTAAGATCTAACAGATACTGCAATCGTAACAAGTTTCCGATTTGAGAAGGTACTTCTCCCGACAAATCGTTGCTGCTCAAGTTCAAGCTGGTTAAGCTTACACAATTTCCAATTGTTATTGGTATGCTTCCATTCAGATGGTTCGCAGATACATCAAGAGCTCGGAGACTGGTTAAGTCACCAAAACTTGTAGGTATTTGTCCACTTAATTGATTGTTGCTGAGATTGAGATCGAACAAATTGCTTAATTTACGCAATTCAGTAGGGATTTCTCCGGTAAGCTGGTTACCTTCGAGTCTTAAAACACCTAACCTTTGTAAGTCTCCAAGCTCAGACGGGATTTCCCCAGAGATTCTGTTCCTTCCCATATCCAGATTGATTAGGTTTTGTAATTTTCCAAACGGGGGACTGATTTCACCTGTAAACTGATTATCACCAACATCTATGTATGAGAGATTAAAATGCGCAGCACCAAGTGTTTGTGAAATGTCCCCAGAGAAGCTGTTTCCATCCAGCCTGATCCGACGCAGGCTTGTGCAGTTCCTTATGCAATCAGGTAACAACCCCGTGAAATTGTTGCCATTCACAGTGAACACCTCAAACTGAAAACCACTACACAATTCAGAAGGTAGTTCTCCAGAGAAACTGTTGTCTCCTAATCTAACATTTATCAGAAAAGGATTGTTCTTCCCTAATTCTGCTGGAATACCTCCCCAGAAATCATTCTCAAACAGCGAAAGATCAGTAAGATTAGTAAGCCTAGAGAGAGTATCAGGCAATTGTCCTCTCAATTGGTTGCTGTTGAGTTCAAGTTTAAGCAATGAAGTCAAGTTTCCGATCTCAGGTGGAATTCTTCCACTGAGATTATTGCCGGAGAACTGCATGGTTTGAAGGTTTGCCAAGTTTCCAATGGTTGAAGGTATTGAACCTGAAAGTTGGTTTCTTGAAAGAGCCAACATCTGAAGCTTTTCCAAGTTCCCAATCTCCATAGGTATGGGCCCCGTGAAATTGTTATTGAACAGAAAGAGAATCCTGAGATTTGTCAAGAGACCAATCTCGGGTGGGATCTCCCCACTGAAAAGATTAAACTGAAGCTGCAAGGAGACCAATTGGGTCCAATTGGTTATGAAATCAGAAGAAATTTCACCAGAAAGATTGTTTTCAGAGATCCCAAGTTCAGAAATCTTTGTCAGATTTGACAAAGACAAAGGCAATACACCGGAAAGAGAGTTGTCAGCTAGTGCTAAGAACGTGAGATTAGAACAGAATCCAAGCTCAGAAGGAATTGAAGAATTCAGTTGATTTGAGTGGAGATCTAGCTCTCGGATATTTCGAAGCTGACCAATAGAAGAAGGGATCTCTCCTACAAATGAATTATTATACAATTCAAAAATTTCAAGATTGGGCATCAGATCCAAATCCTGCAAAATTTGGCCTGAAAAAAGGTTGTCTCCTAGCCTCAGATGTTTCAAGTTTGAAAGATTGTAAAAGCTCGTGGACAATGGACCTTGAAATGAATTCTCTGTGAGATTAAGGTATTCAAGATTGGCCAAATTGATGAACAATGATTCAGGTAAAGAGCCATTCAAATGGTTTCCTGACAAATCAAGAAAAGTCAAGTTGTTTTGAAGATTGTTCATCTGAAACGGAATGTTACCATTGAGATTATTGTCATTAAGATCAAGATATTGGAGGTGTGTCAGCTTTCCAATCTCTGATGGGATTTCGTCTTCAAAACCATTTGAGCTTAAATTCAAGAACATAATGCTGGTGAGGTTGCCAATGGCAGATGGAATCGACCCACCAACATTGTTATTGCTTAAATCGAAGTGGGTAAGATTTGGGAATGAAGAAAACTCAAATTCTGTTAGTGTTCCAGTAAGAGATGAATTTTGGAGGGTAATTTTGGAAACCAGACCGCCTTCATGGCAGACAATACCAGTCCAGTTACAGAGGTTCTGGATGTTTCTTGAAGACCATGAATTCAACAAAGCATCAGAAGAAGAAGAAGATGATGATGATAAGGTACGCTTCCATCTAATAAGAGCTTCTGCTTGTGTTGTTGATGTTGACATGGTCTTCAATGGCAGAAAAGAAAGTAAGGTTATATAAAGGAGCAGATTCATGATGTTTTTAAATGATGCCGTGAATGGTTTGGGTTTTCTTGAAGCTCTTTTCATGCTCAGAATATTTATAGTGCTTTTTCTAATTCGTCAATGATAGGTAATAAATAGGACAGATTTGTACTATCTCATATCGGGGGTCAATAATCATATTAATAACACTTTAAACGTGTCATCCAAATGCATCAAAGTTGTTAAATCAGTTTCATTTTCTATTTTAAATCCAGTCAAAAATGTTTGAATGACTAAAATACCTGTGACATTTCAAAATGACAAAAATACCCTTCTAACAAATAAAAAATAAGACATAGTTGGTAAGAGGAGAGTGGAGACCAACGTGTGGGTATCCTCCTTATGGTCTTTCTCTTCACTGACAAGTTTGAAATGCATTTATATTTTGTTGATGACCTTTGTCTTCTCATGGTCTTCTTCTATTCCTATTTATAATTGACTTAATATTTTTTTTTTTTTTTATGTATAAGTTTATAACTATGACATGATCCTTGACGTCACCAAAATTTACGTACATGTCATTTAAGTAAAAAAAAAAGACTACCTAACTTATCGTTGGTGTCATTTACACCAGATATGAGACAAAAAGCCCAAAAACTAAAATTGAACATTTCATAATTATAATTATATTATCACACAATAAATCATCGTTCATGACTCAACGTGGATATAAATACTTTTATCAAGCATATTTTTTACAATCAAAGATATAACAACAAAAGAGATTGCTTTGTAACTGAATGTGTGGGGTTATTTTGTGGTTTACAATTAAGTCTAGGGTCCAAGTGTGAAAAGTCCAATAAAATGTCAAAAAGTCTTCTGACCTTGACCATTTAAATGAAGGGAAAAAGACTTATCAATGTAATTAACTTGTCGGTTTGTTCACATCTGGGTAACTATTTTTTTTGTACATATCTAGGTAACGAACTTTTTGAAAGTGTTCACATATAACCATTATAACCTACTTTACATACGGTCATAACCGGTCATAATCGTCATGTGTGAACACTTCCAAAAAATTTGTTACTTAGATGTGTACAAAAAAAAGATAGTTACCCAGACGTGAACAAACCAAAAAGGTAAGAGTAAATTACACGAATGGTCCCTGTGGTTTGGGTAATTTGTGTGTTTGGTCCCTAACATATTTTTTAACTTGGATGATACCTACTATTTATTTTTGTTGTGCGTTTGGTCCATGTCTTATCTCAAAAGACTATTGTGCCATTTTTAATTTATTTTTAATTAATTTTTTTATTTATGTATTTATTTTTTATATATTTAAAAAATTAATAGACCCTACATATCTATATCTCTTCACCCTAAACCTGAAAACACATTTGAGAAATTTAAGTTGGGTCCCACCAGTCACCATCTCATCTCTCATGCTCCTCAACTTATATTTCATTTCCATCTTTAGTGACATCGACGTCTTCGCCATCCCTTCTTTTTTCGGTCCTTCAACTCCGGCGAACCAACACCACAACCTTCTATTGGGTTGTGGTGGTGGGAAATTCAATGAAGAGACAGTGGATGGTGGGAAAATAAGTTAGGGACCAAACGTACAAATTACCTAAACCACAGAGACCATTCGTGTAATTTACTCTTACCTTTTCGGTTTGTTCACATCTTGGTAATTATGACCGAATGTAACCTGCTACAGCCGGTCATAATGGTCATATGTGAACACTTCCAAAAAGTTCATTACCTAAATGTGTACAAAAAAAGATAGATACCCAAATGTGTGAACAAACCGAAAAATTAATTACCTTAATAAATCTATTTCCCTTTAAATGAATGGGTATAAAGACACTTTTTTGTTATAATTTATGGATAAAACTTAAAAAATGGCCTGTGGTGGTTATATATATATATATATATATATATATATATATATATATATATATATATATATATATATATATCGGAAACTGGTCTAAACCCTCAAACTTGTAGAAATAGATTTCTTTTCTTTTTTTCTTTTTTTTATCCATCCTAAAATTGAAATGACTATTATATCCTTTCATTTTTATTTATTTTAATATTTTAATAATTAAAAAAATAAGAAGGCCTAAACATCCCTACCTCCACCCACCTCTCTCTCTCTCTCTCTCTCTTTATATATATATATATATATCTGAAATTGGTCTAAACCCTCAAACTTGTAGAAATAGATTTCTTTTCTTTTTTTCTTTTTTTTATCCATCCGAAAATTGAAATGACTATTATATCCTTTCATTTTTATTTATTTTAATATTTTAATAATTAAAAAAATAAGAAGGCCTAAACATCCCTACCTCTACCCACCCCCCCCCCCCTCTCTCTCTCTCTCTCTATATATATATATATATATATATATATATATATATATATATAGTCAATCGAGAACATTTGAGAACAAATCTAGACCAGTAAATACTTTTTAATTAAAAATATATTTAAAAACATTATCCATCTATCCAACCCAACCACCAACACTCATCTGATACTACACCACCACAGATCACCGATTATCGTCTCTCTCTCTCTCTCTCTCTCTCTCTCTTGGATCCAAAAACATGTACTTTCACTCCTACCGTCTCCATTCTCCATCACTGAACATGGCAAAACATCGTTGATTTTCTAATCATTCACGTAGGGTTTCGAAAGGAGATTATGATCGATTCAACATCAAGGTAATTTATTATCCGTAAAACATCAAATTCAAACGTTCGTGTAATTACAAACATTGCTGAAGCTTTATCGATCTCCATATTAGGTTTTATTGCACTCAATCCTCTTTCATATTCGTTATCTGATTCGGTCTTGCACTCAATTTTGCATTCTTAATATCTGAACGATTAGTCAATGAGTGGAAAGAATTCAAAGGGAAAAAGGGTGAGATGTGAGCATTCTTCATCGTTAAGGTAATCAATATGGCAATTATATTTCTCAACCATGTTACTCTCTTCCACCACCTGACATCTCCTCTTAGACCATAAAAGAAGAAGCTTGAAAAAAAGATATTTGAGAATTGAAGATAACAATTTTTTGGAACAGGTAACATCAATCACCTACAATTTCTGTCATAGTTAGCAAACAATTTTTTGTATCATTCTTAGAATTAGGGATTTACATCATTTGCAGGTGACAGAGGCTCTTACACCTGCAGGCCTCAAGTCTTTCAATCTCATTGTTATTGATTTCACCAAGAGCAATGAAGTTTTATTCTAGAAAAAAAAACTAATTTAAAAAAAATAAAATAAAAAAATAATAATAAAAAATTAAGAAAATATTACAAACAATGTCTACAAAGATCGTAAAAGAATTACATATGTTAAAAAAGATGCAACCGAAACTGAAAATATTATTAACAAAAACGGTAAAAAAATTAAAAAAATCAAAGCTTTTTAAAAAAAATAAAAACAATAAGTTATAAAAAATTGTGGAAACTATAAAAAGAAATTATATCAAATTCGTAAATCAAAGTTTAAAAAAAATCAAAGTTAAAAATAATAATAATAAGTTATACCAAATTTCTAAAAAAAATCACTTTGAAAAATTGAAAGCTGAAGAGGTTTGAAGATGCAAGCCAAGTGCTGCACCACGCAGAACACACACAAATGTTTTGTATTCTAAAGTCTTCCAAAAAACAAACTGTTTTGAGATGACAAATGTTGCACGTGTGCTGCGCCACACAACAAAAAGTGGTCTGAAGATGTTTAAAAAAAACAAATAACATCTTAATCTATAGTATACGAGTCTCACATCTAATATTTAAAAACCTAGAATCCTATATTTTGGAAAGTGTTAGGTTGGTTTCACATATCATTAGTCAAAAGAATATTTGTGGATTACTTTTGCAAAAATCATATACTAAGTTGATGGATTGACGTCCGCCCATAAACAATGAAATTGAAAATTTCCTAGAACATCGATTTACCCCAAAAAATGTATGTATCAATTTTACAACTAGGATTGTACAATAGATTATTTAAATTTCACTGCTTGTTTAATGATACGTGAAATGATCTTAAAAAAATAGTTTCTTTCTACTTTTGGAAACTTGATAACTTGTCGATTCTAATTTGGTCTAATGGCTCAATTATACAAGGTTGAGTACTAGCCGATAGTTCTTGTGCAACAACACGCATCGAAGGTCTTGACTCGGGTGCTAATCGTGTACACGCTAGAGCAACATTAAGCACAAACACCACTTGTTCGGCGACACTATCATTAGGAGGCAAAAGCCTCTGATCAAGGACGTCTTTCAACAACATATTTGAATTATCTTGAGATGTAGAGATCGTATTTGATGATTGCAAAGATGATAAAAGCTCTCTAGGATGTCTTCCCATCATAATCTCAAACGATACGACTCCAAAGCTGTAAACATCACATTTCTCTGTAACCCTCATTGTGAGTGCAAGTTCTAAAGCATAAAGTACAAACAAAATTAGTATGTTTCAGTAAAACAATTAAAAATAAGATAAACCATATAAATAAATAATAAATACCTGGTGCCATGTAACCATATGATCCAGCAACTCCGGTCCAGTTACTCGAGTCCGGGTTCAACAATTTGGCCGTCCCGAAATCAGACAATCGAGGGACCATATCGGACTCGAGTAAAATATTGTTTAACGACACGTCCCGATGTACAACCGAAGGATTGCAGTCATGGTGCAAGTAGGCCAATGCATGTGCGAGTCCTTGGACAATTTTAACCCTCGTAATCCAGTCTAATTCTGATATTGCCCTACCTTCTTCGTAGAGTACTTTTCCCAAACTACCCTTTTCCAAGTATTCATACACTAAATGCATCCCGCCTTCCCTACAACAGTATCCGTAGAGTTTGATGATATTCCGATGACGGACTTCCGTTAGGGCACGTATTTCGTTCTCGAAGCTTTTCTTGTTTATCGCCGGAACATCGTCGGAATCCGACATGTGCAGACGTTTCACCGCCACGATCTGTCCGGTTGGTAGCTTCGCTTTGTACACACTCCCGAATCCTCCTCTTCCGATGCAATACATCTCTTTGAAGTTTCCGGTTGCTTTCACGATGTCTCCGAACGTAAATCTTCCGTCTCTTTCCCATATAACCGTTTCGGAATTTCCAATTGTTGTGGTACTTTTGATCTCTTCGTCTACAGGTTTTGATCTTCTTCGAATGATTATACAGAAGATAGCAATCGTTGTTGCCATGAAGACGAAAGTGACCGCCGGTACAAGAACTGCGATAAGCAGTTTCTTATTGCCGGATTTTTTCGATGAAGCGTTGCTGTCACAAGGAAGATATCCATTTTCTGATCCACACAGATACGGATTTCCGGTAAAGGAGTCTGCCGGTGCCTGTTTGAATACACCGTCGTTCGGGATTGGACCTGACAAATTGTTGTACGAGAGATCGATTGATTGCAAGCTAATCATGGAAGTAGATATCCCTGGAGGAATTCGACCTGAGAAATCGTTATGAGAAAGATTAAGATTCTGGAGTGTGTTGAGCTTCGTCAGATCTTGAGGAATTCTGCCGGAGAATGAATTGCTGCTAAGATCCAACACATACTGCAATCCGAACAAGTTTCCGATCTGATAAGGCACTTCTCCTGACAAATCATTGTTGCTCAAGTTCAAGCTTGATAACCTTACACAATTCCCAATTGTTGTTGGTATGTTTCCATTCAGATCGTTGCTAGATAAATCGAGAGCTTGGAGGTTGGTTAAGTTGCCGAAGGCTGGAGGGATTTGTCCACTTAACTGATTGTTGCTGAGATTGAGATTGAACAAATTGTTTAATCTGTCCAATTCACTTGGGATTTCGCCAGTAAGTTGGTTCCATTCGAGGCTTAGAACACTCAACTCTAGCAAGTCTCCAAGTTCAGGCGGAATTTTCCCTGAGATTCTGTTTCTTCCTAATTCCAGATTGGTTAGGTTTTGTAATTTACCCAACTGGGGATTGATTTTACCTGTAAACTGATTTTCTCTGAGGTTTATGTATGTAAGATTTGGGTGTACACCAAGTGTTCGTGAAATGTCACCAGAGAATCTGTTACCATCCAGCCTGATACGACGCAATCCAGTGCAGTTCCTCAAGCAACCTGGTAATAACCCATTGAAACTGTTGCCATTCACAGTGAACTGATCAAACTGAAAGCCACTGCACAATTCAGCAGGTAGTTCTCCAGTGAAGCTGTTGTTTGAAAAGCTCACATTTGTCAAAACAAGATTGTTCTTGCCTAAATCTGCAGGAATACCCCCTGAAAAACCATTGCTAAAAAGCGAAAGAACCATCAAATTAGAAAGTTTAGAGAGTGTCTTAGGCAACTCTCCACTCAACCGGTTTGTGTTCAAGTCAAGTTTGACCAAAGAAGTCAAGTTTCCAATCTCCGGTGGAATTGTTCCATTGAGATTATTAGAGAAAAGCTGCATGTCTTCAAGGTTAACCAAATTTCCAATTGTGGAAGGTATTGAACCCGATATCTGATTGTCTGAAAGATCCAAACTCCTAAGATTCTCCAAGTTCCCAATCTCCATAGGAATGGGGCCTGTGAAGCTGTTATTATACAGAAAGAGAACACTCAGATTTGACAAGAGACCAATCTCCTGTGGGATTTTCCCAGTGAAGAGATTATTTTGAACCTGCAAGGAAACCAATTGGGTCCAATTGCTGATGAAATCAGAAGAAATTTCACCGGAAAAATTGTTTTCCGAGAGACCAAGATCAGAAATCCAGGTCAAATTTGACAAAGAGAAAGGCAATTCACCGGAAAACGAGTTTCCGGCGAGAGCCAAGAAGGTGAGATTAGAACAGAATCCAATCTCAGAAGGAATCGAAGAATTGAGTTGATTTGAGTGAAGATCAAGGTACCGAAGATTTCGAAGGTGGCCAATAGAAGAAGGAATCTCTCCATGAAATGAATTGCCAAACAATTCAATAACTTCAAGATTCGGCATCAAATCCAAATCTTTCAAGATTGGACCTGAGAATTGGTTGTTTCCTAATCTAAGATCTTTCAATTTAGTAAGATTGTAGAACCCCTTTGACAATGGACCTTGAAACAAATTATCAGAGACATTAAAGTATTCAATCTTGTTGAGATTGGTGAATAAGGATTCAGGTAATGAGCCATTGAATTGGTTTATTGACAAATCAAGAAAAGTCAACTTCTTGCACTGGAGAATGAAATCAGGGAAGCCATTCTCAAGATTATTGAGGTAAAAGTTAAGAAAAGTCAAAGCTGGCATACTTGAAAAGTCAGACCAGTTTGGAGTAGTCAAGTAATTCCCTCCAAGATTCAAGTACCATACCTTTTGAAGATTGCTGATCTGAAACGGAATAACACCATTCAGATTATTGTCATTAAGATTCAGATATCTCAACTGTGTTAGCCTTCCAATCTCAGATGGGATTTCATCTTCGAAACCATTTGAGCTCAAATCCAAGAACATGATGCTGGTGAGGTTGCCAATGGCGGATGGAATCAACCCACCGACATCGTTATTGCTTATATCCAAGTGGGTAAGATTTGGGAATGAAGAAAACTCAAACTCTGTTAGTGTTCCAGAGAGAGATGAATCTTGGAGGGTAATTTCGGAAACCAGACCACCTTCATTGCAGACAATACCAGTCCAGTTGCAGAGTTTCTGAATGTTTCTTGAAGACCATGAATCCAGTAAATCATCATCAGAAGAAGATGAAGATGATGATAAGGTACGCTTCCATCTAATAAGAGCTTGTGCTTGTATTGTTGATGTCGATGTGGTCTCTAATGGCAGTAAAGAAAGAAACGCAATGTAAAAGAGCAGATTCGAGATGCTTTCGAATGCTGCCATGAATGGTTTGGGTTTTCGTTTTTAAGCTTTTCTCATGGTAAAGAAGAATATAAGCTTATAATTAGTTTAAGAGAGAAGGAGATGTTGTGTGAACTGACATGTGAAGAGATTGAGAGCAAAATGGGTAGATAAGAATTATAAATATATGTGGTTGAATTTAGAAAAATAAGAGATTTGTGTGTCAGTATCAATAAATGAGTCCTTGAAAGTTGCTAAAAGCTGGAAAATGGTGGATGAGAGCTTTCAAGGGATTTGTTTATTCACAGTTGGGCGCCTTCTATCGTCATCACATGGTATGAGACCAGTTTTACTATTTTGTCCCTCTTATAAGAATAAACCTAAATGTCAAGTTTGACTTTTGTAGGTGTTTTTTCTTTTAACATTTTTTATGAGCCAGCGTCTAGTCTTTCTTAAAGAAATTAATTGAATATTAGATTTTAAATATTGACTATCAATTCTCAAATTATATTTATATTTATATTAAAAAAAAAAAAAGGACAAACTCTTTTATTGAATTCCGCCAACTATTTGTACGCGTAGTAGGAAGTAGGAAGTTGACGTTGGATTGTGATTTGTAAAAGCAAGAAAAAGCAAACAAATGTAGCTCCTTTCATGCCTATTCACAGTCAACTTTGACTTCAAATTCACTATCAAATTAGTTGGAACAAATCTAATCTTTTTTTTTTAATAATTGCAATAAAAAGTTAAATCATTTTAAACATAAAACATGCATTTTTAATGGAAAAATACCATACAAAGAAGGGCAAAACCAAGTAACCAAGTATGTCTTTTTTCCATTTCAGCTCCATCATTTTCAAATTGTAATGCTTTACTATATATGGAGATGCATATATGTCACACACCTAAGCACACACACACGTCACGTGTGTGTACAGACCATAATCGAAAAGAAATAAACTATGGTGTGATAACAATTCTTTGAAATTTCAAAATGTTTGTTACGGTTATGGTGTTTTTATCGTTGTTATGTAACATCTATTCTAGATAAATGATTCATTTATATTTTTGGGCAATTAAAGATGTAAAATATGGATTTTGAGATGGTCACGACGTGACGAAGGATACATCACGACGTGGCCATCGATGTATTAAACGTGCATCCATTTTGTGTGTCACGACGTAATGAGCATGTGGTCACAACGTGGCGACCGCCTGGGTGTTTAATCCTAATTTTGGGATTTATTATGCCCCCTATTTAATGGAAATGAGGGCTAGGGTTTGCACACCCTCAACCTCCATCACCTTCCTATTGCTCTCCAAGAAAACCTAGCCCTATTTTTTATCTTATGAGCTCTTTTTTTTTGGTGATTTTTAGCCTTAAAGAAGAAGAAAATGCGTTTTGGTGCATTATCTCAGCTATCAAGCCTCTCTCTCATCACCTTGAGCTGTCTTAGGACTCTTGTCTTAAGACTCTTGTAAGTCCTCAAGTTCCTGTCTTTCTAGTTCAAACATGCTAGATCTAGATTTTTGTCCACTTTTCCCCATGTTTGAAGAAGTTTGAATGTTAGAATCTCATAAAGTTGGCAACTTTATGAGTTCTTGAGGCTCTTTTGTGACCCCTTGTTCCAGATCTGGAAAGTTAGTGAGTTATGAGTTTCATGCATAAGATTCGATCTCATTGTTTCCTTCATTCCGACCTAGCTTGTGTTCAAGACATGCATGTCTAAAAAGCAATGCTTTTATGGTGCTTTGGGATGGAGAAAGTCTTCAGGAAAATTTAAGTGTTTGGTTTGAAGGATTAAGAGCTTAAACCATTAAGGTATCCAGAGCGATTCCCACGATGTGACAGGTTTATTGTCACGATGTGGTGACAGTCAGCTTCGCGACTGTTTTATCCTAATGTTGTCACGACGTGACCAATGGGTGGTTACGACGTCATGATCAACTGGGGATGACTTTGACCGATGACTTTTGATCATGGTTGACTTTTAGTCAATTTAAGGGTTTTAGGATGTAGACTGAGAGTGTACTTCTTTATTGTTGTTAGGTGTCTTGTTGTACCTGTCCTTTCTGTGTGAGAGTTGTTGTGTTTAGCTGTTATCTGTAGGGGCGGCTCAACAAATTTGGGGGTTCTAAGCAAACAAAAAAATTGGGGCCCTTCGGTTTTATAACTTAAATCAAATACCAAACTATTTCTTAATGCATCTCAGCTAATCACTTATATAAACATGAAGTTTGTTGAAGTTTTGATCTCCGAGCCGATATGAGACTCAAAGGTAGAGTTAATATGAAGCAAGTTGATGGTCGAGCTTATATAAGAGAGGATAGTTGGCTGAGTTTCATCCATGAGCGATGTGGGATATGTTTAAGTAGCTTCCAAAATAAAATGAATGAAAGGTAAGCAAACAGATTCGAACCTGAGACCCTTAGTTTGATAAACCAACGCTTTTACCACCAGGCCAAGCTCCAACTTGTCTTTGTAACCCAAGAAATACGTATATATACATATATAATTAACAGAATAAGCTTTAAAATTAGGGGCCCTAAGCCCTTGTTTAGTTTTGCAAATGGTAGAGTTGGCCCTAGCTATCTGTGAGGTGAGTCTTTTCAATGTATTACTTATGTCATAGTATGTGCATGCTGACTAGTTGAGTCTTATTTTGTTGTTTATTGTTATGTGTTATTGAGCTGTTAATAGCTCCACGACGTGTTGTTAACCCATTGGGGCTGCTGATAGGCCTAGGGTTGTTGATAACCCACAGGGCGTACTGTTATCCCATTGGGACTGCTGATAGTCCACAAGGTTGCTGATAACTCATAGTTGTTTATTTATGTTGTGTTGTATACGGTATTTTGGGCAACTCGCTAAGCTTTGTGCTTACAATTGTGGATTTAAATGTGTTTCAGGTATTTCAGATGATCGCGGGAAGGCGAAGGCTTGACTGTACACTCTCATCGGCAACTTTTATGATTCCACATTTTGTGATACTTTGGTTTTTGGATGATTGTATTTTGATACTTATGATTTTCTTGATATGGCTTTTCTGGAAACTATGTTTTTATATAAATTTAAAAATGGAAAAAAAATGGTTGTGATTTTTGGGACGTTACATTTTACACATACCAAAAGCAGAGATGCTACCAAGCTATGCTATGGTAGTATGTAGGGATGAGCATTAGAACCGTCGGAACCGGAACCGGAATTGTAACAAGGTCCGGTTACCAGTTCTCCATTTTTATGAAAACCGGTCCCGGTTCTAAAAATCGGAACCGGTTTGACATTTTTCTCGTTTTTTTAAATGCGCATAACTCACTCATATGAAGTCGGAATTATTTGATTTTTTTTCCGGCATGTAATTTGGAGTTGGTAATTCATTTTTTACTGTACAAACATATGTTTTAGTTAGATATTGAATCAGACACATGCCCCGAAAGAAAGAATATCGATGATGTGTTTTTTATATTTCAACATTTTTTTGTTTTTTTGAATTTGTCATATTTTTTTTTAAATGGGCATAACTCATTCATATGACGTCGGAATTACTTAACTTTTTTTCCAGCATGTAATTTGGTGTTTGTAGTTCATTTTTTACTATAAAAACACATATTTTGGTTAGATATTGAATCATTTATAGACCTCGGAAAACACCATATCAATGTTGCGTATTTTCTGTTTCAGCATTTTTTTTTTGAAATCTGTCATGCTTTTAAAATGCGCATAACTCACTCATATGAAGTCGGAATTAGTTGATTCTTTTTTCATCATGTAATTTAGTGTTTGTACTTCAATTTAGAATGTAAAAAGTTATAATTTGGCTAAATATTGAATCATTTACAAGCTCCGAAAGATAACATATCATCTATAATATTTCAACCGGTTCTAGTTTGAAAAATAACCGAAAAACCGGGACCGGAACCGGAACCGGCGCTAGAACCGGCGGTCCGGTTCCCGGTTCTTATAATATAGGCAAACCAGTTCCGGTTCCGAACCGTTCATGTTCTAAAGCTCATCCCTAGTAGTATGATGGATGATTTAACAGTTAAAATTGAAAATAAAAATAATAATTAAGATAATTAACATGCCATTTTTAAAAATATGTATGATTAGAAAAATATAGTTTGAAACTGCGTATGAAAACAAATACTTTATTAATTTTCAAAAGTTATAACCGAACAAGGAAAAAGTATAATTCTAAGCTAGTGTTTTGTATTTTGTAAAAGAAGAAAGAATAATAGTGACATGAAAGTATTATATTCGCTTGCCACAAATATAAAAACAAAATATTATTCATGGAATATAATTCTTTTTATTAGGTTGATTTTCTTTGAACGAGGATGATGAATTGATGATTTGTTCATTGAAAGGTTAGGATATTTTATAGTTTATAAATATAAAATTATTTTTATTTATATAATCTTTAGTTTTTTAAAGGTTCTAAAATTTTAATTAAATTATTTTATAGACAAAACTACAAAAATGGACGCTATGGTTTGTATATTTTCAAGAAAAAAAATATCAAAACTACTAAACTTTTTGATTGTTAGTCCTTTTCAGTATGTTTCGTTGTGGGTTTTGGTTTTTCGGAAAACTGAAAAGACTAAATTGTTCTCCTGATATTTTTTAATGTTTTTTAATTAATTTAAAGTTTTATTAAATATAAATATGAGGCCCACATCTCTCTCTCTCTCTCTCTCTCTCTCTCTCTCTCTTTCTCTCTCTCTCTCTCTCTGTGTGTGTGTGTGTGTGTGTATGTGTTTGTGTGTGTGTGTTCAAAGACATTTTTCTGCAACTTCAGTCTTGAAAATCATTCAAAACCCTCTCAACATTATTACCACATTGCATCATCTTCATCACATAACCTGTATCGACCTCATTGCATTCCTTTAAAAGACGAACCTAAGATTTTCCAATACACCACCATTAGCCGTCGACAAGCACGATCAAAAACCTAGAAAAAAATCCAGAATAAGGAACACATACACAACACACACATAGACACACAACCACCTAAAATATTGTCGTTCACAGCTCACTCACTCACCAGTGATGAAATCACTTCTCTAACACTCTTTTGTGGTTGACAATACTGAACCGCCATCACATCATGAATCCTAGCTTATACCCCCGTCTCTTAAAGTTAAACTAAACACCACCAATTTAGGATTTTCTCCTTGTGTTTCTAGAGGAACCCGATTTTCGGTTTTTTACCTAACCCAAAACAGAGAGAATGGAGAAGGGAGATGTGGTGGTGGTCGATAATCTCTTAATTTTCAAAATTTGCATCCTGAATTATCTTATCCAAATTGTGGTTTTTGATTGCATTCTCGCCTCCCAATCTTCCTTGGGCGACAAACAGTCAAGTAGTAGATAATAAAAAATTGTGCCCTTAATAATTTTGTGAAGAAGATGGTGGTCACATGATGTTTTTGTGATGAGCA